CTGCTCTTCCTGAATCCGAGGTTCGACTATCCGACGGACCCTCCTCTCCAGGACCCCTGAATAGACCTTACCAGGGAGGCTTAAGAGTGTGACCCAGAAATGTTAGTTTTCTTTATTATTTATTTGTGGCAAATAAACAAAAAATATATGTTTTCATGGATTCATACTGGTTTCCAGATGAGAACTGAAGAACTGTTGGGCTCTCACTTGAAAAAAAAAAAGTGCATTCACATCCAAGATGTCATATGTGCTGACTGAGTGTTGTAGGACAAGGTCTGTGTTGTGTTTGGAGAAAATTTGCACAGAAAAGGAGGCACAAAACAAAACATATTTTTTTATGTTCACTTGGCAACCCATTGTGCATGCAGTGTCAGCATGATCACAGCTACATCTAAACTGGTGAACGCACTAGCATTGCTTTAGACCTAGGATGTTGTTGGTTTTGCTCCCGCATGCTGAAAATGAGCAAGAAGAAAAAAAAAGTTTTTTAACTATAGATGGTTTTCATTGACGTCATCATCTGGGACATTTTTACCCTCCGCACCCTGTTTGTGGGATAGTATTTATCTTGCATCGATAAAACCAGTATGGGAGAACCACAAAAGCAAGGGAGAAAAAATGCAAAAAAGGCCACTGAACGACGCAGACGAGCATGACCAGGATAATACTTCGTATTTAAAACATGCCTTTCAGGAAACCCATGGATCTACTGGATAATAAAGCTAAATCAAGGTATTTATCTTTATTGAAAGTAGCGATCCTTACGAGCTGCTGAAGTCTGCAGAGCTGACAGGCTGTACTGACATGACTCTGTGTGACTTTCTCTGATATTATTAGTAACTATATCTTACATACTCCAAATGTATACATACTGCATAATAAGGAGCTTTTTGTGATTATAATCTGATACAGTCAGTGTATCCTACATTCGTGTTTACAGGGGTAGATTGCATAATATTCAAAACACTTTTCTGTTCAAAGTGCACAATCTATTTCTTTTTTTTTTTTAGTTAATTAACATACTATGCGGCCACTAACCATGATAGGAGTGATCTGAACACACTCTGGAATCCCGAGGAGGGTGAAATCTTTGTGGTTGATTATCACCAGCCACAAAATCACGTCGCTTTGCCAACAGTTCTACTTCTCCTTAGTGTTTTTACGCCGTCTGTTTTTTTTAAGAGCGTCTCTCTGCCACACAAGCAGCACAGTTTTGTAACTAACTCGAATGCATATTTGCTCCATAACTGTTAAAACAACWTATAATAGAAACATACTACATAAACAATCTAGACTGTRTACATTTCTGTGCTGTAGACTATCCCCTCTTACGCGTTCACAGCCGATATATGGCGATTTGATCACGTGATCTGCAGGTCGCTACGTCATTTGAAAAACATTTATTGTTAGTGCAGAAAAACGAATGCCTGCAGCCGCCTGTGTGTGCATGTGCTATTTTACACTTCCTGAAAAATTCCACTCAGAGAACTGGATTCAAAAGTTCCAGTGACTTCAATCACTGTTGTCGTGTAAACGAACATTTGATCTGCAACAAAAAAGTTACAGTTTCACAAAAAACCTGCTCCATGTAAATAACCCCTGAGTTTGCTGAGAAAATCTGTTTCGGTAATTTAGGACTTGAAGGGTGTCTTAGAAATAATTAAACAAGATATACAGGTAAAATCTCTTTAAATAGTTAGATTGACACACTTGTTGTTCACATCAACAAAAATAAACAATGGTGTGTTTATTTTCTGACAGAAACCTTTGACAAAGAATGAGGTCAACAGAGCGATCAGAAAATAAACAATATTTTTATCAATTGGCACCATATTTCTGTCATAACTGGTAAACAACATATATAAAGGTGACCTTAAAAGAACAAAATTAGTATTATGGTTGATTTTTGTGGGGAAATTAGGATTYTGTCTTAATCTGCTTCTTAACAAATTTTCTAAAGCTAAACCAAATAAAGTGGAGTTTTCATGTATCTGCAATCTTTGTTTTGTTGGTCAGAAGCGGAAAAGTTTAATGTTGACAGAGACTAGATGTTTCATATGGCTGCTGTATGCAGTTTGAACACTAGATGGCAGTGCTTGTTTCACAGTGACCCTTTAAAATACTACTGCAATCATGTTCTTGGTTTTCGTAAAACAATCTTAAATTTGTTGATTACTTAAAAAAATTCAATCACCGTTTTTATTCGGAGTATTACTTTTGAGCTGYAAGTTTATAAAAGAACAGAAAGTTTTTCAATATACCTCTTGGAGTGAGGACATTTATCGATGTCGGTCATGACTACAACGTCACTGACATCGAGACGGAACCTCTTCAGCAGGGCGATCATCCTGGAACAACAACAACAAAAATAAAAAGTTAATATCTGATTATTTTATCATTTGTTTAATCCTCAGGTGTTAAAGGCTAATACACTCAATTCACAAAAATTCATGAACAAATGTATATTTTTAAACTAATTTGTTAAAACAATAGATTCTGATGTCTAAGTGTAAATGTCTCATTTCTAAACTGAGTTGTTCACCATAAAATATGAAACGTAACATATACAAGTAYGTTTTATGAAAATGGAATGCATTAACGTTGTGCACTCATAAGTCAAATAATATTGTTTGTTTTTGTTTTTGATGTTTTTGTTTCAATCAGAAATCCAAATAATATTTAATAATTTTAGGAAAAAAAACTTTCTGAACATGGTCAGAGAGCTAAATCACAAAACACCATATCAAAGCCTTTTTATTATTATTATTTATAGTTATTTCAGTTGTTTTAAATGTTATTAAAAATGTTGAGAGGAAAAAAATCTTTAAGTGAAACGAAAAACATACTGGTTGCGACCCTCCTCCATGTTCTCCTCATCTCCCACAATGAAAACCCTGACTTTACATTTGTGCCAGTGTTTTCTCCTGGTGAACARGTAAGGCACCAGCAATGTCAAACCTTAAAAGAGAGAAATACTTGTAAAAAAACATTTTTTTTTTCATGAATAGGCTGAGTATGTAGTATCTTTTATTTTAATCTTATTTTTTGCGGACAAAAGACTGCTAGTAGAAACAGAAACCTCAGTCTTTAAACATCTTATTCCCTCATTTTTCTTTATAACATGTTTGCTTTACTCACCTCCATCGTCTGCGATCCAATAAACGTCAATGGTCTTCTTGCCCTGATCATTTTGAAACACTGTCTTGATCTGATCCCTATCACCTTCATCAGACGCATCATCAGCTGCAAACCCAGTGAAGTTCAAACATTAGAAAGAAGAAATCCCCCATAACATGGAAGAGTTTAACAGCAACAAACAAGCTGGTGGTGGCAACAGTTTCATGATGCAACACTTCACCTAATCCAGTATTTAAAACTGAGGTGCTCTGTTGTGCTAAGAACATTACAAAGAATGATAAAAAATAGGATGAGTTCAGATTGTTTATTTATAGCTAGAAATTTATAGATATATTTTTCACATTGTTTTGAAATCACAAACAGAAATATACAATTCTCAATAAATATGAATTTCTTGTTGATAGATGTTACCACATGCTACAATGCTACACTAATAGGAATACAACCATACAATGTAGTGATATAGTGTACTTGGTTTTTAGGTTTCATTGAATTCTCTTATTGAATTTATTTAGAAATGCACACGCTTTTCACATCCTCTGCTCCACTATAGGWATAAAAGCYAAAAAAWAAAAAAWAAWAAATCAGTATGTGGATGTACAATTTTTGGTGATGTTGGTTCTCACCTGCATCYTCTGTATTAGTTTGCTCGTCATGGCTTTCCACAGGCTCATCTGGCTCAAAACCTCGATTTACTGTGGAAGCAACAGTGTATTATTAACACKTGTTTAGTTTTAAATTCATGTCAATTTGAAGTTGAGCACAGGTGAACATAAATTTTACTACATTAAAYCATTGGCAGAATGATGCCACCCTGAATTAAAAAAAACTCTCTACTAACTGTATAGCAAAATACACAGAGTCCATGAGGGGACATGGGGGATTTTTTTTTTGCGTTCCTACACAGTAGCATTGCATTACCTCACTATACTTTTTGCGATCCCTCTCAAAAGTCGTTTATTACTGTTGTGCCAGCCAGTTTATTAACAAATTCACATGCTCAACATAAAATGGGAGTTAGTTTAATACTTTATCAGCTTCAGAATGCATACATCACACAGCCATGCGTGGAAATATATAATCTGCAGATGTTTTAACACAGTACAGCCACCTGATGTCAATTCCCTGAAAACTGGTGACACATCCTATTTCGATAAACGAATATTTTAAAATAAAAGTCTGATTTAATTCAGTTCATACAACAAACTTTTGCATGGGAACGCAAAACAATATTGCAAGGGAATGCAAAGGTTTTGTGAGGTAACAAACGCAAAAGTCTTACAAACGCAAAAAAAAACAACATCCCTTCATTTTCCTTCATGGAGCCTTTAAAAGTAATACATGTATGTCTCTTAAAAATTATTCCCCACTAGTGCCTCTGGCAACCTTCACTTTGAAAACCACTGCTCCATCGCAGCAGACGAAATCATTGTGACATCATTCAATTTTGCAGGGGGAAATAATGYTGACATCACAGACCAAACTATTTGTGATATAGCATCTTAGCTGATGAAAATTTTACTGTAATGTAATGTTATATAACATGCAAGTTAATGTTTTAATACTGGAACTAAACTCCAATTATCAGTGGTTTTTTTTGGGTATTTACAGGTAACTTTCTTTTGAATTTTGGGAAGTTAGGTCTACCTGAACAACATGGTAATGCATGTTTGTTTATCCTGCCATTTTACAACAGTTCATTTAACTGTACCTGCCACCCCCCCACTCCCTGCAAAAAATGCTTTTAAAAAACTCTCTGTTTAATACCACCCCACCACCATCACCCATCCTTTTATAATTAAATGAAATTTCTATTCTTGCATCAAACCTTCAAATTCAAAGTCATCAGAGAGGTTCAGTCCATTCATCATCCTCAAGATGCACAAGCAGTAGTTGGAGTCAAACGTGTCACTGAAAAAAAAAGATAAAAGAATAACTTTGAAMCKTAACCCTCCTATCRTCTTTGGGGTCARTTTGACCTCATTCAATGTTTATCATTCAATAAATAGTAGTTAACTTTTTTCTTTTGCTTCATATTTCATGACTTTTCCTAATTTGATGGGGACAACTGGTAAAACATAAAATTTTCATGATGATGTTTTTTCAATGAGCTGAACACATATCGCTCACATTGGTCGTCCTCAGGGGTCAGTTTGACCCCAATCTGTTTCAGCTGTTAAAACTTGTCTGTCAGTGTGTGGGACCTAACATGACCGCATCTGCAGGTGCAGTGATACATTTGAGTTGATATATTTTTGTTTTATTTATTTATTATTTATTTTGATACTTCCCATGAATGTGTGTATGTG